TTAACACTGCTTTAGTTGTGGCCCAAAGATTCTGGTACATTGTATCTCTGTTTTCTTTAGTTTCAATAGTTGTCTTTTTTTTTTTTTTTTAATTTTTTTTATTGTTACCAACAATTCAATCCTCAAACTCTCCTCTAGCTGTAAATTGGTAGAAACTACATTAGGTTTTCTGTCTGTTTCACCTTCTGGTAAAAGTCTCTCTGGATCCTTCCGAACTGATCCAGTTTGCCTGTTCTTCATAGTTGCAGTTTGGGAACTTCCTTCGTCATCACCTGAGAATTCCTGTCATCTCTTTCTTGTGTTGAATCCTTGCTTTCCTGAATCACATGTCTTCCTTTTCTCAATACACTCCCTTGTTTAAGTGGAAAACATCTTCTAATAACTTCCTGGGAAACAATGCCTAGAAGATAATTGCTTGTACTTTGCAAATCTGAAAACATCTTTTTTCTATTTTTAGACTTTAAAAAATTGATAATTTGTTTGGATATGGAAGTAAACAGTGGAAAAAATAGTTTTAGTTTTCTTTCCTTCTATTTTTTCTTTGCCTAGGTAATTCTCTGTTCTTTTCAAAATTTTGGTGATGCTTCGATATTCACTCATATTAAAGAGAAAAAAAGCTGGCTGGAATCTCTGAGCACATGGGCAGGCTTGTTATGCAGGGATTACCCCATAAAGTGATCTGGTTGAACCATTTATTTGGGAAACCTGTGATGTCAGACTCCTTAGATTTAGTGTTGGCTTAGTTATATTCCCCAGAGAATCATCTTCTAATTTCCCTGGATGATAAAAACCTAGCTGCTGGCATTCTGGAAGCTGAATAGAACATGAAAGCTTAAGGGCTGCATGTTTTCTGTATCAACTTTCACTCTCTTTGTTTTTCAGATGGCATCTCCACCTTCAACTGAACCTGGCATTCCCCAGTCTGGAGATACTTTTATTTTCTCGAGAGAGCAAATATCTGATCTGTAACTGGGATGAGACAGACAGTAGCCATGCAGTACAGATTAGGAGAAGGGACCTAGGAGTTCAAAGTGGTTTTTAAATAGATTTTTTTCCCCTAGTTTTTCTATCATCAGCTGTCTTAGCCAGCCTGGGCTGTTATAAGAAACTACCATAGACTGGTTAGCTTAAACAACAAACATATTTCTCACAGTTCTGAAGCTTAGAAAGTCAAAGATCAAGATGCTGGCAGATTCAAAGTCTGGGGAAGACCTGCTTCCTAGTTTACAGATGACCATCTTCTGGTTGTATTCACATATTGTTGAGAAAAGAGAAAGGAAACAAGCTGTTTTGTCTTTCCTTGTAATAGCACTGATCCTAACATGAACTCTCCACTTTTATTATCCAATTACCTCCCAAAGGCCCTACCTCCCAATACCATCACATTAGATATAAGAGTTTGAACACTTGAAGTTTAGGGGAGACACATTCAGTCCATAGCATGAACCCCCTGCTCATACCATTGGTTCTTGAGTCTTTTGGGTAATATTCCTTGATACAAATTGAGTTTTTTCTTTGAATTGCCCACTGCCTGATTGGAATTCACTTTTCTTGTCTCCTGCTGAGTCCACTATTATGCATCCATCTGTTCTCTATCTTCAATAAGTTTTATGTTTTTAATTTCTTCTCTTGTTTTCCTTGATCTTGGGGGTTTATTATTCTTGTTTCTTCATCTCTTTACTATGATTTCAGTGAGGTTTATTTCCTAAAGAGAAAGATGAAAAAAATATTTTAAAGCAACATTTCCTGAAATTAGGGCATGGGTTATACTCAGTGCAAACGTTTGAATGGACATGTGTTCAATTTGACATTTTCAACTGGAATCCTTTTGGTAAGTGTGTTAGTCCATGTTCACACTGCTGATAAAGACATACCCGAGGCTGGACACAGTGACTCACACCTGTAATCCTAGCACTTTGGGAGGCCCAGGTGGGTGGATCACCTGAGGTCAGGAGTTTGAGACCAGCCTGGCCAACATGGTGAAACCCTGTCTGTACTAAAAATACAAAAATTAGCCAGGCATGGTGGTGGGTGCCAGTAATCCCAGCTACTCTGGAGGCTGAGGCAGGAGAATTGCTTGAACCCAGGAGGCAGAGGTTGCAGTGAGCCAAGATCATGCCACTGCACTCCAATCTGGGTGACAGAGCAAGACTCTTGTCTCAAAAAAAAAAACAAAAAACCAAAAAAAAAAACAACCCAAGATATACTGAGTCTGGGCAATTTACAAAAGACGGAGGTTTGTTGGACTTATAGTTCCATGTCATATGGCTGGGGAGGTCTCACAATCATTGTGGAAGGTGAAAGGCATGTCTCATATGGAGGCAGACAAGTGAAGAGAACTTGTGCAGGGAATCTCCCCTTTTTAAAGCCATCAGATCTCATGAGACTTATTCACTATCATGAGAACAGCACAGGAAAGGCCTGCCCCCATGATTCAGTCACCTCCCACTGGGTTTCTCCTACAACCCTTGGGAATTTAAATGAGATTTGGGTGGGGAAACAGCCAAACCATGTCAGTAAGTTTAATTTTTATACATCTTTTACTAATTAGGAAATTGAGATGTGGATAAATATAGTAACTTCATGAAGGTCACATAAGCACTATTGGAGCCAGAATGTAAACCTCTTCCTCCAACAGTCTTCTTCCAGAACTCACTCTTCTTACCTGTATATTATACTGCACTTCCATGTGGTACAGGTTTCTTATTTTACAAAAGTATAGCTTGGAAGTCTCCATATCTTTGAGTGTGTTGTGCTTCTCATTTGGAAAGCTTTCTCCTTTCTCTCTATCCATTAGTGCTCCCTTATTTAGTCTTTATCCAGTATTCTAACCCATATGACTCTCCTTTGGTAGGACAATATGGTGCAGCAGAATGTAAAAGCTGGGTTTGAGTCTCAGCTTCAGCAGCTACCAGTTTTACCTTAAGCATTTCTGCTTGCTGAGCCTCTGGTTTTTCTTCTGGAAAAAGTCCCGTTTAATTCTTATAATGATCAATTGTTGTAAGAAGAAAATATGGCACATATACACCATGGAATACTATGTAGCCATAAACAACGAGTTTGTGTCCTTTGTAGGGCTATGGATGAATCTGGAAACCATCATTCTCAGCAAACTGACACAAGAACAGAAAACAAAACACCACATGACTCACTCATAGGCGGGTGTTGAACAATGAGAACACATGGACACAGGGAGGGGAGCATCACATACTGGGGTATGTTGCGGGGTGGGGGACTAGGGGAGGGACAGTGGGGGTGGGGAGGTTGGGGAGGGATAACACTGGGAGAAATGCCTGATGTAGGTGACAGGGGGGTGGAGACAGCAAACCACCATGGCATGTGTGTACCTGTGCAACAATCCTGTAAGATCTGCACATGTACCCCAGAACTTAAAGTACAATTAAAAAAAAAAGAATTAAGTGTAATAGCACATGTACATACATACACCTAGCCTCATATGTAGGCACTTGAACAACAGTGTTTAACAAACATTAAAACAGTGTTTCTCCAGTTTTAATGTTTCTTGGAGATGTAAGAAACGTATGAGGTTTTCCAAGACAAAAAATAGTAGCACATTAAGGTATATAGTGATTTAAGATACAATTCTAATTTTAGGCATTTTAAAATGAGGAAAATTTGTTCTTTTCTCAATAGAAGAAAATGCAGAATGTCTTACACTGTTAGGGTAACTGCAAATGTGGATGTTATGTCTTTAATTATAAGCTCTTTGATTTATGCCAAGGATTATAAGCTCTTTGAAGACAGACTATTTTTAATCTTTTTATGTCATTCTTGATATCTAGTTCAGTGATTAATGGAAATCTATTAAGCATTTAGCAAATATTTTATGAATGAACAGTCTATATATTACAACTCAAAAGTAAGACCATTTCTCTATTGGAAAATGGAGTCTGGATTACATCTAGATCATAAATTTGGGAAATCTAAATTGCATATTTTCTATGTGCTAGAAGGCAGAAATTAATCACTGGAGAATGGTCACTTGCCGTTGGATTAAGAACTTTTTAATACAGGGCTTTCTAATTAAGTAAAATAATTACACATATGCTGTAATTTTGTTGATTTTGTCATATTATAAAGTAATATGGTGTTTATCATACAAATAATTTCTGTACTAGGAAAACACTCAAGATCTACATTGTATCGTCTATAAAAATGAAGATGAATAATTTAATTTAATTTTAGCTGGTGTGAGAGCTTTAAGAAATTCTTTAATAAAAAATTTTTCATGGCAATATTTTTAAAAAGCACCTCAGGATGTTATAATTGCAGGTTAGGTTATTTTGACAAGACTGTGTAACCGATCCATGCATTTTATGTTTCTATTCATAGAGGAGTGATGGAGCTAAAAATTAAATTAAAATAAGAGCTGAAAAGGGGTGTGCTAATGTGACTGGAATAACTTCCACGTTATATTTTAGTTTGGTTGCCAAGGTCTCCAGCTGTATTCATGAGGGTGACTAGATACTATATCCTTATTCTTATATAAAGAAATTTTTAATATTTAGTATAACATTTTATTATTTTAGGGAATGAACTTCATGATACAAATGAAAACATCATGATTCAATATATGCAAATAATCTGTCATTTTAAAAACAGAATTACATTGTACTTTTACTTTATCTACTTTGGAGGATTTTGTAAGAATAGTGGTAGTCCTTGAGGCTTTAAAATAGTGAGCAAGATAGATGTGGATCCTGCCCATAAAGACAGAATGACCAGATAGTTTATCATCCAAACTGGGAAACAAGAGAACATGCAGGTACACACACAGCTTGGCCTCAGAGATGGAGTGTTGGTAGGTTATCGTGCTTCTACACTTTGGATCCTCATCCCTCTCTGCTTGGGCCCCCACAGTACTTACAAAAGCTGGAAGGGAGTGTTCTAGTAAAACAAGCAAACTTTATGACTAGGTGTAGCAAGCAACTTCCCAGAGGAAATTTCTTCCAAGAGTGGTGAAATTTAGCACCTAGAGAAAGATGAGCAGTGATTGGAAAAGTGAAAACTGGGGCCCAGATGCTATAAGGGGACAGTAGTGGAGAGGCCACTGTTTCAGGCCCCGGGGGGGCCTCCAAGGTCATGGTTTGCTCAGCATGCCTGTGGCCCAGCTTTGTCTGAGCAGAGCACAGATCATCCCAGACCTGGAGGCAGTATGATCAGCAGGCCTGGCACAGCCTCTGAGCCATAGTTGAATGGAAGAGACTGGCAAAGGGCTGCCATAACAAAGTACCACATACTGGGTGGCTTGAACAACATGAATTTATTTTATCACAGTTCTGGAGGCTACAAGTCCGAGATCAAGGTATTAACAGGGTCGGTTTCTTCTGAGGTCTCTTTCCTTGTCTTACAGATGGCTGCCTTCTCCCCATCACGTGGTCTTTCCTTTGTTCTTGTGTGTGTTTTAATCTCTTCTTAGAAGGATGCCAGTCATTTTGGATTAGGGCCCATCCAGTAACCTTTTAACCTTGATTACCTCTTTAAAGTCCAAACCTCCAACATAGACGCATACTGAGGTATTGGGAGCTAGGACTTCAACACATGTGTCTTGAGGGGACCCAATTCAGTCCACATCAGGGCCTCCTTTGGAGACACCAGCATGCTGTGGTTGCAGGTTCTGATTATTGGCCTTTGGCGTCTATGGATCAGGAAGGCCTAGGAGCATTTGAATCATCTTTAGAACAATGCCAAGTGTGTTATAGGTCCTATTTTTCACTTTCAGTGACAAAGGTATTACCTTACATAGTCTGTGAGCATCTTAGTTGTTGGAAACTTCCTTTGTACTGATTCAAAGTTGATGTTGCCTTAGCTCTCCTGCTGTACTAGGTGCCTGAGGCTACTGGTCTTTTGGTTTCTTTAGCACTTCAGGGTATGACTGTGTCCTGGAATCAGTTCCTTTTTTATTCTGTTAGGTGTGGTTAAGGGTATGATCTCTGGAGTTAGTCTGTTGGATGTGAAGCCTGATATCACTACTTACTAGTTGTATGTCTTTCAGTAAATTCCTTGACCTCATTATGCCTTACTATCCAGATCCATACAAAATGGGGATAGTAAATAAGGTAGGGAAAAGTTAGCACTGTGCTGGACACTTATTAAGTGTTTAATTAAGATCCTATCATCTTCATCATTATCACCACCGCCATCACTGTTGTTTCCCTTGAAAATGATACTGAGAAAGGCCTTCACTGCCACTCACATAATGACCTGTGCAGGTGGAGGAGGACTAGCATTTCCCCTATTCTTACTGAACAATTCTTGTTTACCATACTTTTCCTGGTCATCTTCCCATAACTTGTCTTTCCCATCCAGAAGCCCAAAACTCCTTTACCTTTGATTATCCTAAGATTGTATATAAGGCCGAGTTCTAACCGCTCCTTTGAGTTACTCATCCCTGGGGACTCCCACGTGTATGTATGTTGAACATGTAATAAACTTCTGTTTGTTGTTTTCTTTAAAAAATTATAAGCTATTATTGGAGTATTACACTAAAACATTATTAAACAAATATATGACAATAGCAAGAATAAACCAGTGTTGACAAAAGGAATCAAACTCTGTAAAATATTTTGAAGGGATTTATTCTGAGCCAAATATGAATGATCCATGGCCCCTGACACAGCCCTCAGGAGGTCCTGAGAACATTTTCCCAAGGTGTTCAGGATACAGTTTGGTTTCATACATTTTAGGGAAACATAAGTCATCAAAACATAAGTCACGAAGGATGTACCTTGGTTTGGTCCGGAAAGGTGTGACAAATAGAAGCAGGGGCTTCCAGGTCATAGGTACATTCAAATATTTTCTGATTGGAATTTGGTTGAAAGAGTTTAATTATTGTCTAAAGACCTAGAATTAACAGAAAGGAATGTCTGAGTTAAGGTAAGGGGTTGTGGAGACCAAGGTTTTCATTACACGGAAGTAGTCTCCAGGTAACAGGCTTCAGAAAAAATAGATTGTAAGTAGATTCTCTTCTGGATCAGGAAAAAATAAAGAAAAAGGAATGGGATTCTCTTCAGAATATAGATTTTTCCCCACAAGAGTCAGCTTTGGAGGACTATTTCAAAACATGGCAAAGAAAACATATTTGGAGTTAAAATATTTTGATTTCCTTCTTTATCTGCCATGTGATGTTACGCCAGAGTCAGGTTGGAAAGCAAGTCATGCTACATAGGGTTAAATAAAACCCTTTGGATGAGACTTTATGTTTTGTAGGTCATAACTCCCCAGACCTCTTAGATAGGACTTCAGTCAAGAGAAGAAAAAGGTCAGAGTCGAGTCTTCACCGGTCTCTTATATGTTGGTAGGATTGGTATGCATCCACATTATTAAGGTAGCTTAATTTTTAGTATCTTGTTTCCTTGCATGTCACTAAGATGTATAAGACACTTACTTTTTTCCTTCCCCTTTTGTTACTGGCCAGGCTCATTCTGCTTGCATGCACCAAACAAATCACTGTGGTGACAGTTTTGCAAAAAAGAAAATATTTTATTCACAAGTCTGCCATGTGCGGGGCCAGGGATACAAATCTCAGATCCACTTCTCTGAAAATAGGGCTTGGAGTTATGTATGTGACAGAAAGTGGGTGCTCTAAAGTATAGGGAAAGATGATTGTTGAATCAGAAAGGTGAGGTAATTAGGGTTTCTGCACAAGGATAATTGAGCTATGTGGTTCTTCATAGGACATATGTGCAGAAAATGTTGGCACTAGCCACCATTTTCTTCATAGTCAAAGTGGAGTTTTTGACTCTCTGATATCAAAAGGATTCCTCTTCAAGTAGCTGTTGCAAGCCCAACCTGTGCAACCAACTTGTGCAGTTGAAGGTCTCAACTGGCTTGAACTAGACAAAAGCTGCCCCCTAGTTCCTGAAAAATAACTATAAGCACCATTACTACTGTGACTCACAGGCAGAGATCTTACCCATAAGGTAGCTAGTGGGAGTTTAGTTATGTATTGTTTGATCATGTGACTTGCTACTGGGAGTTTTAAGATGAACTAGAAGTAAGTCATTAAAAGCTAGCCAGCTAGTTTAGAGGGCTTAATCATGTTTCACTTGCTCACTATTATAGTTTAATAAGATATTTATTTCATTTGTGTAAATATATGTTCAAGTTTGACTTCAAAAAAACTAAGTGGGACTGTAGCAACTTTGAAACATTTTAATAAAAGTAAACACTATAAAGAGTCAATGCTACTTAC